TTTCTTCCTGTATAATACGTGGGACGTATCGCATGTACACCTTTTAAATCAGGTTGACAATCTATTCCCTATGTTTGTTTTTGACATAAAGTAAAAAAGCCAATTAAATAGATTCAAAATTGAGAATCAATTAGAGGCTGGAATACGATGCCATTTTATGCCATATGAAATAAAAATACAGAGATATTTCACGCACAAAAGATTGCAAAGATGTACCTCGGTCGCCATGGAATCCGCACATTCAAAATATAAACAAAAGGCAAGATGGATTGATACCCTGCGTATATTTCCCTCGCAGCCATGAAATATGAGTGTAAGTCTTTAAAAACCTCACGAGGTAAATGGAAAAAAGACAGGATGTAGTACATAAGATAGAATTGACTCCGATCATCGAGAATGACAAGCGGCAGGTGTTGTTGTATAATAATTTGATTATTCATTAGGTAGGGTTGTCATGATTCATGGCTTGGGTATTCTTCAGAATATTAGTCTTCGAAATGTGTCTCTGCCACTCTTTTATGAATTAAACCTTTAATGTTAGGATCTCAGAAGTTTTAGTTCAAAGGGATAACTAAACCATGATTATCATAATCCTTTTTTCATTGAAGCAAACATAATTGTGACAGGTGGGTTGGTGGTGACTATATTATTATATTGTGATTTTGTAATTCAGGATACTATGCATATTAAGTAAAGGCTCGCCATGAAGTAAAAAAACAAGAATGTCTGTCTAATACTTCTTATAAAATTTGGATACTTAGTAAATGTATAAAATGTAGGAAATATTGATAGTTGTGATAATGAAATGCCCTGGTTTTATTCCATGTGTGATGCTACACCCACATGTCTGTTGCCAATCTCCATGCTTTTAGACCTCTGGTAAGGCCAACAAACTTCCATAAGTTATAATCTGTCAGAATAGAGTTTGTAGCTTTGCCTAACGATTTCTGATTAAATAAAGAACCAATCAAAGGTCATGTTATATTAAGTACAGGTATTTTGTCCTTTGTCAGAGGGCCAAAGACATGGATACTTCAATGATCGCTTTACACAATGCCACTGTTGTTTTGGACTTGAGACTGTAGGCTTTCCACCACAGATTATAGCAAGTGTCAAGTGTTCTCAACTTTTCAAAATGATATGATTTATTTTATTTTTCTTACTGGATTAAGCCCAGTAAGCATATCCAGATCCTTTTTTTCTACATGTATTGGAACCACAGTATTTATATTTAAGGAGTAGAGATATTAATTAATACAATGTTGAATTTAAGTATTACATAATATATCATACTGTCCGTTCTTAAATGAAGGATATGACATGATGTAATTTTTATCCTGCTAGTTATAAAAGCTATACAAATAGCTAGAAATCAGAATTTTATTAAACAATGGACTTGCTTTTGATCACATCTATCTTTCTCTTCACAGGTAAATTATATTTAAGCATTCTACGTATTGTAGCAATGTTACAATAATGAAGATGAGGACAAGGCTGGGGGCAGCATCACCGGCAGGAGGTACCGGCCTCCCTCCTGCCATAGAGTTCCCCTCTCAGAGGCGGGAACGAGTGGACTGGCATAAGCTAGCATCTGTGGATCTTCATGACCTTGCCTCAGGATGCAGCATTGAATTCTTACAAGAGAACCTCTCACATGTTGCCTTCTGTGATGCAGAATCTGAATTTGACCTTGGAACTATGGCAGGTCAACGAAGCTTGTTGAAAATGTTCCGTCTGGCCCAGCTGATCATCCAGTACCTTTTCCTTTCACAAGATTACATGGAGACTCAACTACAGCAGGCGCAGGAAGAGGCAGAGCTGGTTACAGAGAAGCATCAGCAGCCCTCTTTCTCACTCTCAGGCTCTCTTAGTGTAAATATGGTATTCTTATTCCTGTGTACATATATTTTCATATTATTCTATCTTGTAAATTATTAATGAAGATTATATTAGATTAATTTTTTTTATCATTTATGCATTTTTTTTTTTTTTTACTACTCTCAAAATTTTTGACAGGTAAAGTCAAAATTGCTGGAGCAGGTGGAGGAAGCCAAAAAGATGAAGATGACCAATAAAAGCATGCGAGAGACTGTCAAGTATGTTAACTCCTTTGCCTTGGCTAATGGCATATTCCAATCCCTCAAGTGTCCTCTCTGTACAAAGGCCTTCAGAGGGCAGGATTTTCTCCAAGCTCACCTCTGGCGCAAACATCCTCAACAAGCAAATGCTGTCACTCTTCCGCAAGTGCCGCCAGTAGCTGTTGGGGAGACTTGCCCGGGCCCCACAGCTACGGTGGACAAAAAATACTATGGAGTGCCACACAGTGATGCCACGCCCCTCCAGAGTATGCCAACTCAAACCTCCAAGACAAATGATGTTGATTCTTATAAAATCATTGAGATGGAAAAAAAGTTTAATGCACTGAATGATAATTTTTCAAAGTTCATGCAAAATATGGAAGAGCAGAAGAGAACACTTGAGAAGGAGAATGAAAGACGACAGGAGGAAGTGAAGAAGGCATGGGAGGACAAGAGCAACATGGAGCAAGAATACAAAGCTGAGCTGGAGAAGCTTAACCAGCAAATAAACCACCTCCAGAGACCCAGACAGGAACAATCAAACAGTATAGATGTGGACAGGTTTGTTGCCTTAATAAAACAGCAAGAAAGTGAGATCAAGACCCTCCAGTTGCAGATTGAAAATCAGCTAAAGACCAAGGTAGAGGAGTTAGGGGATACTCCTCAGAGTGAACCTGCCATTGCAGGTTTGTCAGAGGAGCTGAACGCCCTGAGGAAGCAGCTAAGTGAACAGAGGAAGAGCCACAAACGTTCCTTGAATGAGATGAAGGAATCGATGCGGAGTGAGTACGAGAAAGCTCTGGAAGAGGAGAAAAACAAACTGAAGGTAATGATGCAAGACTTGACCAAGCAAGAGACTCCAGTGAAGGCCATTTCTCAGAAGCCCCCTCCGTCCCCCAAGACTCCAAGCATCAGGAGGTCCAAGCCATCCACACCACCCACACCCAATAGGTCCACTAAGCCTTCTGTGACCTCTTTAGACTCACCTGACTCACCTGCCATGAGATCCCCAGCTTTGCCTGGTCGCAATGCTCAGGGAACGTACCGAATGGATGCCGAAGACACAGATGAAGAGACTGAGGACAGTGAGACAGACACTTCACGTTGGACACAGGCTGCAACAAAGATCACACAGCTTCAGGTTGTCAGTCCAGACCCCAGAGCAAACACTGCACTTGAACCCAGTATTTTAAGTAAAGCAGGGGATGGTGGTCCTGATTCAGAGAACTCCTCTTTTGAATCTTCAGAAGATGAGGATGATGAGGCTAATGGATCATCAGAATCACTAAAACTGGAAACACTTTTAAGGGATAATCCACAGCTGTGGGAGCAAATGAAGAGTGCAACCTCAGAAGTCCTTGCCAAGAAGCTGTCTTCACTTGGCCTTGATGGATCTGTTCGAGGCATCAAGACTGAGGTTTTGACTTCTTGCCTCTCCCAGCTGAGGAAGGATAGGAGGAGGTATGAGGAGAAGCATGAAGGATTCATGGACCTGAGAAAGAGGCTGGAGAATGAAGTAAATGTGAAAGCAGATGAGAAAATAGAAAATGTAGGGGATATTTCAGGTGTGCAGCCAATCACAGAGACTGTCAGGAAGAAAGGCCTTCAGGCAGGCATGCTCTCTAGGGTTGTCAAGAACGTGAAGTCTAAGGTAAGGGAGCGTTCAAAGTCAATCACCTCAACCATGAGCAAGACTAGCTTGTCAGTTAAGTCGGGTGTGAAGGAAATGTTTCATGCTCATGCCAGACCAACAGAAGACATCAAAGTTGTCACAGAAGATAGAAAGGTCTCTCTTACAAAGTCAAAACAAGACAATGACAGTTCATCAGACACAGAGTCAGAAGAGAGCTCTTCCAGCAGTGCTCAGATTGAGGTGCACAATGAGACTTCTAAGTCTGTAACCAGGAATCTCTTTGGCTCCAGTGAACCTTTAGAGGTGGTGGCAGCAGCTTCTCCATCAGGGAGTGGTGCCCGACCCAAGCAGAGGAACTACTTTGACAATAAGACTTATGGACAAGTGGAGGACAGTAGTGACTCTGAGTGGGACTCAGAACCGGAGTATGAGAACATGAAGAAGGAGCCACCTGTGAGATCAGACAGTCTGGCCAAAAACCCTGGAGAACTCTTGCAGGATGCCAGCAGTGCAGCTCACAATACCAGCTGGGATAGTGTGCAGGACAGCAAGCCTATCAAACTCAAGAAGCCTCAAGGGGAGATGGTGAGCAACCTCTCACGCACCATAGAACTACAGCTCAGTGGAAGACGGAAAACCAGCATGGCAGGTGCTGTGGATGTGATGAGTAGTGGGGAAAGGGACACAAGTGGCACATACTTACAGGTCCCAGGATCAACATCTTCCCCCCATGTGAGTCGACAACAAAGTGTAAGTGATTCCTCTAACACAGTGCACAGCAGCATGTGGGGCTCAATAGAGGACATGAAGGATAATCAGAAGAAACCTCAGAGTCTTCCTTCAGGAAGAAGCAAGGCAGTCATTCATTCCTGGGACTCGGAGGATGACTTGGACATCAGTGAGATTGAATAAAATCCAAAGAGAATGTTTATATTTATTGGAATTTCTGCAGCTATCTGATGGTCCTTCCATTAACTCTATTTTTGTTTTTTAATTATCTTTTTCTTTTTTTAATTGAAACTCTTGAAACATCCCTTTTTTTTGTTTGAACTGCACTGAATCTCTCACAACCTTTTCTCTAGGCATCTCACATTATTTATTCATCCTGTGTCTCTTCATCTCTGCTTGTCCTGTACCGACACATGTGTTACTTCAATTCTGTCCATAACAGTGGAAGTTTACCTTAAGCTAGAAACTTAGTATATACAACGTATTACAACCACTTTATCTGTCAAATGTGAAGTAGTATTCAAACGCAATATTTCTCTTGAGGCCTTCTGTCCGGTGCCCAAATTTATTATGTGCTTCCTGCTCTCTCCCACTAATCAACATTGTAGATGCTTTAAAATTGATGTATATATTTTTTGATAGAATCCATTTTTAGCGTTATTTCCTATAAAAAGATTATGCAGAATTGTATGTCTATTTCAAGTACAAAAATAATTTGTAACACATTTATGAATTAAACTTTTATCCCAAAACTGTTGTACTTCCTTATCCAAAACCGGAATATAAATGACATTGTTGAGTTTTATTAATAGTATTTATATCCTGTTATAGCTGTCATTAATCCTGTCTTTCCTTACTTTTATTAAAGTCTAGTAATCATTATTACCATTGTTATTATGTTATCATTATAATTATTATCACTATCATAATTGTTACTATTATCATTTTTCTTATGAATATTGCTTTCACAAGCATCATTTTTATTGTTGCTAGTATAATTTTGTTATTATTATTATTATTATTATCATCATTAATGTTATTGTTACTATTATTGTTATCATTATTATTATGTCACTATTATTATTATTATCATCATTATTGTGTCACTATTATTGTTTTTGTTACTATTATCACTTTCTATTTTTGTTATTTTGATGTCCTTACTATAACAACAATAACAATAGTAAAAGATATAATAATTATTTGAGAATAATAATAATATTATTACTATTATTGTGATTATTATAATCATGATTTTTATTATCATTATTATTATTATCATTATTATTATTATTATTATTATTATTATTATTATTATATATATTATTATCATTATTATTATTGTTATATTTGTTATTGTTATTATTATTGTTATTATCATTATTATCATTACTATCATCATTATTACTTTTATCATTTATTATTTGTTCATATCATTATCATTATTGTTATCATGATTATTATCATCATCACAGTCCTTATTATTATTATTATTATCATTATTTTTTTATTATCATATGAATAAATCTTATCAGACAGATCTGCATTTCTTTCCGTGTATATGCACGTCCATATATACAGTTTTTACAAACTGGCCGTATAACACAATTTAAAGAGAAAGTGATTAACAAACATATTTTATGAAAGAAGTGAAGATAGTGGTATAAGGATTTTTTTTTCATGAAACTGAAGGAAAAAGGAATAGTAATAACACGATATAAAGATGAGAAAGTGACCAATATTTTGTGAAAAACCGAAGAAGAAAGAAATGATAATAAGATATTGAGGGATAGAAATAAAAAGCAATGTATTTTATGCGATAATAAAGGAGTAAGAAATGATAAGAACCCGGAAAGAGAAGGAAGGAAAAGCTTAAAAATTTGTTTTGAAAAACAGGAGAAAGAAATTGTATAACGCACGGATACGGCTTAACCAACAACAAAGTGTTTATGGAAGACTGAAACTAATTAACAAATCTCAAAGGAAATCAAAACCATTCATTTTTATGAAAGAGGAAAGAAATAATAACACTATAATGGGGAAGAAATCAGCATCAACGTGCGATTGGTTTGGTAAAGTAAGCGACGGAGTTTTGTTGTTGTAAGCGACCATCAACACAAACCATGGCCGGCTCCACTCGGCTCTGTTTACTCGCCAAAAGTTTTAATTTATTGTCCGTTTCTCAGCCCCCATTGAGCCACGGTATGTTTTAATGGGAGGGAGAGTTTACTGACGTCAGCTTCTCGAGAAAAAATATTGTGTTTTTCAAAAGGGTTAATGTTTAAAGTGAATCTATATGTTGGTCACTAATTGTATTGATGTTTCAGTATTTCGTTATTGTGTGTGATAAGGATGGTTTCAAATTTCATCGTAGAAAAGGTATACGCGTATGCTGTTATCACGTAGATAATAGTGGTGGTCTTATTAGAATTGGACAATATGTAGTACGAGGTAATAAAACATGAAATGATAGGACACAAACCAAAACAATTTTCAGCAATTTTCTATGGCAATGTGGTAATTCTTTACAGTATGGACGCACTCCCCAGAGACTGTCCACAGCTCTACGTCAAAAATTATATTCATCAATCTAAGTTGTTGTGATGGTGTGCCCTTCGGGGACTGCCCAAAGGGTGGGGTCCAGACTGTAGAGTTTGGTCTGCACGGGGAATTATTTGGTCCAATTCTGTCCGTGCCAAAGTAATTCTCGGGTAACTTTCTGCACACTCTTAGTCCTTTTTTAAATCATCTTCCGGGCATAAAATTCTTTTGACCTTTCCTCACACGTGTTTCATCATCCATCCGCAGATTCGTCCGCACAAATGTAGACAAAATGATGCTTTCCGTGCATGAAAAAACATAGCAAAGGCTTCCCATGGCCAGTAATGAAGATGTAAAACTTATATTAGAGGCAATGAGGTTTGCCCTTTCATCAAATAGCCCCACCAAAACTCTCCTGTCTCCCAGACCCCAGGCTCTCCTTTGACCACGACTCTGAACAGTACAACTACTACCCACTCCTCAATGCCTACTAGTGCATTATCCACCCAAGTCGAGACTCCTACTCTCCCAATTTCCTCAACTTCATCAACTCTACCCCCACAGCCTTCTTCACCAATCACCTCATCTTCCCTTATTACTACCTTACATCCTTATTCTCCCATCTTTCTGTAATACTACCCCCCTCAACAATACTCCCTCTTCCACACGTTGCCATCCTTCTACAGCCCACAACTCTACCAATATCTTAAATACTCTATTTAGCCCAACCAAATGGGACCGATTTTTCATGATACCCCCTACAGCTCCTTACTCAGGCAACACTTCTCTTTCAACAGTGTCTCCAAAAGCAAGTGGACAGAGGCCCCTTCCATACCTGTCCCGATCGTCCCTTTCTTGTTACAGTTACATCTGAAACTGAAGCTGTAGCATTATCAAATCTAACCAATTTCTCTGGCAACCCCATTCCTGCAGAACCTCATCCAACTCTTAATACTTTTACTGGAACTGTCTCTATCTCCCCAGCAATCTGCCCTATGGATATTGATTGGTCAGATTGTGGAGAGTACTTACTCGGCTGATTCAAAGACTGTGATGTGATATCAGTACAGTGCTCCCATTCTTCTAAAGGTCATCGAATGAAACCCACCGACATTGCCAAAATTACTTTCCGTACACATAACCTTCCCTTTTGTATCAACATTGGTGGACATTCCCTCCCTCTTCGACCATATCAACCTCTTCCCCGTCAATGTCAAAACTGTTGGCGCTTTGGACATCCTGTCAAATATTGCCGTTCCACAGACCAATTCCCCCCTATGTTCCCTATGTGTATCAAACTGCCCTGCACAAACACATACATGTGCTAACTGTGGTGGCCCTCATAATTTATTTTATAGAGGCTGTCCCACTTACAAGTTTATGTCTGAGGTAGCAACTCTCAGATATAAAAATGGTTTCACACTACCTGAAGCCAGACAGGAAGCACGCTGACAAGGTTTCACTCCCTGCTCTCATAATGTCACTCGCTCTGCCCCTCCCCCTCCAACCCAGGATGTTCCTACACCCTCCCCTATACCTACTTACTTCCCCACTTCCATTTCTACCTCTACCACCTCCTACCTTCCCCAGTCAAATTCTTTTGCCACGCTAAATGCCCGTTGTTGCGTTAGGGGCTTTAGAAGATGAAAACTGTGACCAAGGCTGGGGATTACCCTGCCTTGGGCCTCAGTCCTCAACTCATCTAATTTTGTTTGGTCTTTCCTTCCCAGGAGTCCAAAATGTCTCCATATGAGGCAAAATTCCTCTTAACCCGGGGCTTTGCCTCCAGACCCCTACCCAATTGGCATATTTCCCTACCGAGATATTTACTGCATGGTTTTCTTAGTTATTCTTGTGGGTTTGGTATTTAGTAAGATCTGATCTTTTTCAGGCATTGTGAGACAGTATGCAACAGCAGTCACCTTTGCCAGACCAAGCATTGCAGCAGTTCCTCTCTCAGCAAAAGGAAATAGCGTTAGTCAGAGGCTGAATCAACCACACCTCCCTCAAGTGCAGCCAGCCAGGTCAACGAGCTTCTTCAACAAATGTAAGAGTTCAGTTATTAGACATTCAGACACTTACCCTTTTAAACTTCTGTTGATTTGAGGATTGATGTCTTTCATACCATTTTGTATCTTATTTTGTTTTCTTATGCAGTCAAATTGTTTCAGTGCCGGCTGATCAGCTCTGGAAGGGTGTGACGAGTGTGAGCAATGCTGGCAAGAAGCGTGGTCGTGGCAAAGGCGTTGGCAAGAAAATGGCAAAAAATCTCAACCGAGGACAGATGATTGGCGTTGGTAAGGCATTACATTTTTTTTAAGGCATTATATTTTAAGCTGTCATTATATAAAGAAAGCATTTCATAGATATTTTGTTAGTGTCTAAGTCAAATTTTATGATGGAACTCTTCTTCAAATCAGGGCGTGAGAATATTGTTTGGCCTGGACTCAATGCCCCCATATTGCGAGGGAAGGAGTTGATACAGCAGCAGAAGCTCCCGCAAGATACAGAGAGAGAGGCAAAGCTCATCAAAATGAGAGACACCATGGGTGTGTTCCGCCCTTTGCGCCTAGATCCCCTGGAGAGAGGCTGGTCCGGCAACAAGATGCCCGGGAGGAGCATTGGCCCTCCTGACCCTATTGGGGAAGGTAACCTGTCAAGACAGTCTGTTTTCAAATGAATAAAAAAAAAAAAAAAAAAAAAAAAAAATCATCACTAGTAAACGAACTTTTTAGACATTCTCATGCTTTCATCCATGGGCTCTTACTTGTTTGTTTGTTTGTTTAGCTTCTGTTATTGAACTGTCCTAGCTCCTTTATGTATTATTTGTTAGCAATACTTATGTTTGGTTAGGTCCACAAAGAGTATATGCTTTAATTGCAGACAGCTTTGATGGGTTTGACACCAAAGTACTGGAACTGAAGACAGTGACCCACATGAGCGGCATCTTCGGGAGGAAAAGACGAATGAGTATGTTTGTCGTCACTGGCAACGGGAATGGCCTGGGAGGATTTGCTCTAGCCAAAGCCAACACCATGCCAGCCACCATGAGGAAGGCGAAGAACCGGGCGGGACAGAAACTGATCTACATTGAAAGATACAATGACCATACAGGTTGGTGCAACAATGTTTGTTAAGATTAATTTTGTTTGTTTGTTTGTTTGTTTTTTCAAATCTTTTTGATATAGAGGATAGTAATCAGACTAGTTACCTGTTATTATAGGGTTTGGTTGATTTATTATTATTAGTCTTTGAAGGATTGTACTTACCCCTCGTTATTTACCTTTCCAGTTTTCCATGACTTCTTTAGCCAGTTTGGATACACAAAGCTCTTTGTCAAGAAGAAGCCTGAGGGCTATGGTCTGGTATGCCACCGTGCCATCCGTACCATCTGTGAGGTGATTGGCATCAAGGACATCTATGTCAAGGTGGAAGGCTCTACCAACATCCAGAACCTCACGAAGGCCTTCTTTCTCGGACTCATCAATCAGGTATAGTCATAGGGACTGTGAAGGGCAGTTCAAGTACCTTAGTGCCTTGATTATGTTTATGTGAGACAGTTTGCATGAGTCCTTGTCTATATTTGAGATAGTTTGAATGAGAGTACTTGAGTCTTCTATCTATCCCATAGCTCGTGATTATAGGTCTTTTGTAAAAGGAAAGAGAGTGATAAGGAAAATTGTCAAGATGAAAAAAATTATAGGAAAAAATTATTTTAAAAATCTGCATTTTTTCTCCTTTGTTGTCATTCCAGAAAACTCACCAGCATCTCAGCGAGGCCAAGCAGTTGCACCTTGTTGAGTTTCGTAAAGAGAACCTGGATTTCCCCCGGGTTGTGGCTTCCCCCCAGAGTGGCAAGGTGCGCGACTTAGAAGAAATTCCCAAGGACGAGGAGCTTGACTTTGGCCTGGTTAGTGCTGGAAGAATATCATTGTTCCCATCAAGTTCTTTTGATGGGTGAAATAATAGGCTATGCTTGTCTGTCTCTGTTTATCTGTCTTTCTCTCTCTCTCTCTCTCCCCCCCCTCCCCCTCCTCCCTCCCCTCTTCCTCTTCCTCTCCTCTCTCTCCCTCTCTCTCCCCTCTCTCCTCTCCTCTCCCTCTCCTCTCCCTCTCCCTCTCCCTCTCCCTCCTTCTCTCTCCCCCTATCTTCTTATCCCTTTCCCTTTTCCTCTCCTCCTGCTCACCTGCACTCCAACCCTCCCTTACCCTCCTCCTTCTCCTCCTCCTCTACCTCCTTTTCCATTTCCTCCTTCCTCTTCCACTCCTTCTCCTTCTCTCACCTCCAGATCGCATTTTTGCAAAACCTATTTCAGCCAAGTGCTGGTAATTCCAACAACAACAACAACAACAGCAACAGCTTTCCCTCTC